TATTATGAAATTTGGAACAATTGGTACAAATGGCTGCAAAACAAGAATAAAATTAATTAAGCCAAAAAACATGAAATATTATATACATGTACAGGTATGATGACATAACAATGTTGATGTAATGACTGTAAGATGTTGTAGAAGGGAAAAAATAATTAAAAAAATCTGCTAACAAAAAAAGAAAAGAAATTCATATCATAAATATACACACCTCCATTACGAGAAAGACGGAGTTGGGCATCTCCTGAAAGAAAGGGAAAAAAAGAAACATCTCATTAAACAAGAATAATGGACGCTTTCTTACAATAAATAATCCCTTTTCACCCACCCGCCATCGATCTATACTGGAGATATTTACGGCAGTGACCACAAAAAGAGGGAAATGTATTGTTCGGGGGGAAATCAATTTTGCTTTTTGGAATTGGCACGATGCTCAGCTTTCAAATAAAAAGCTTTTAAAAAGACAAGTGTAGACAGACTCGGATGCGGATTTCGGATTACAAACCACCAAAGCAACAATTATAATTTGAGATGGAGGCATGGCGGCACTGTGGTTAGACGGCTGCATTGCAGGCTGACTCTGCCCACAGTCTGGGGTTCGATCCTGATCTACTCAAGGTTGACTCAGCCTTCCATCCTTCCGACGTGGGTAAAATGAGGACCCAGATTGTTGGGGGCAAGAGGCTGACTCTGTAAACTGCTTAAAGTGGGCTATAAAGCATTACGAAGCGGTATATGTCTAAGTGCTATTGCTATTTCTCCCTCCCTCCCTTTTCTCTTTCCTTCCTTTCCAACTTTCCCTCCCTCCTTCCTTCTGTTTCTTTCTCTCTTTTCTCCTTCCTTCCTTCCTTCCCTCCATCCCGTGGTGGCCAACGGGTTAGAAGGCAGCACTGCAAGTTAAACTCTGCCCACAGCCAGCTAGGTTCAATCTTGACCGGCTCAAGGTCGACTCATCCTCCCATCCTTCCGGAGGTGGGTAAAATGAGGACTCAGATTATTGGGGGCAATAAGTTGACCCTGTAAAAAACTTAGAGAGGGCTGTAAAAGCCCTGTGGAGCAGTATAGAAATCTAAGTGCTATGCTATATAATTTTACACCTGGCATGATTGTTGCAGCTCTTTGGATCTATGGTACTTTGGAGTAACTGAAGGGGATTTCACGTCAGTTTTTTGCAAGACCGTAACCCAAATGCATTCCCCCCTCCCCTTAAGTCCATCACCCACAAGTCCAATACATGGTCCAATCTCCCACCGGCAGTTGTACCCATCCAGTTCCAGCCAGGTGCAGAAACAAAGGATGACCTTGCCTTTCTAGAAAGAATGTTGTTATGGCTACATAGCATCTAACTCCATACAATGTTTTCCCACAACAGAAAAAGCATAGAAGAATAGAAGGTCAAAGATCCAAAACAAAAGATGGCTGCAGGCCTGACATAACGGACCAAAACCCACCGGGGGCCTTGAGATGTCATGTGGCTGTTATGTACTATCACCTGCCTCCCAGTTACTTATTGACGAAGAGTAAACAGCCCTGGGAAGGCTGCTGGGACGGCCTTCACCATCCCCACTGGCAATTGGGGCTTCCCCAGTAATGACACAACTCTTAATTTAGCTGGAAACCCTGGGGGGGGGGGGTGTGTTGTTTGCAGGGAAACACACATCCTTTGTTACCGAGTCATGGCCCCTCGCTTTGCAAACACAGCCGTTGGACTTAAAAGTGTCCTCACACGTCCTAGTCTGAATTTCATCATCATCATTTTAAGCCCAAAGTGGCACGCAAAGCCACGTCGCCTCACATTCACAGACTTGCTCGTTTTGTCTTCCGGATCTCTGGCGCATATGCGACGATCAGCTGTCCTTCGTGCGTGTGGGACTGCCGAAAACCGATGTGTGCATGCACGCCGGCTAGCTGATTGTCGGGTGGTAGTGGTGGTGGCATGTGTGCCAGGACCCGGAAGTTCATCTTTTTCGGAGTGTGATACCTTCGTGCGCGTGGCAGTGCCAAAAGTCAGCATGCGCACGCACACGGGCAGCTGATCGTCGGGCGTGCATGCACACTAGAATTTGGAAGTTTGGCTTTTCTGGAGCGCCACCCCAATGAGAGTGCATGTGCAATGTTTCTGCACAAGTTCACCATCACCGTTTTAAGCCATTGCCTATCCACCGCAGGATGAAGGGACATTTCTGCCCATTTCCAAGTCATACAGGTCGTCCTCCTCTTACAACAGTTGTGATTAGGAACATATTAGAATGCGCAGAAATGAATAGGTGAACACTCGCAATTAAAGAGGAGGAGGAAAGCGAATATTATAGCCGAGGGGAACTATTCTACGGATGGTTAGAGAACAAATATGAAAGTTAGAAATGAAAGTAGATTAGTGAAAGATAGAAAATATATTAATAGAATTAAATAATTTAAGAAGAGGATTACTATAGTATCAGATATGTTATGTATATCAGTATTAAGTTACGAGCAGATAAATATGAGTATGGTGGTAAATCCTAATTGTTATTGCGCAAGATATTTGTACCCAGGCAACATACTGTTTAATGGAAGATGGATTGTTTGTATTAAAATAAAATAAAATTACACACAAACACACACACACACTTAGTGGCCGTTACAACAGCACTGAAAAAACTGACTTGCGACCATCTTTTCACAGTTACGACCTCTGTAGTATCCCTGTAATCATGTGATCAAAATCCAGATGCTTGGCAACTGATTCATACTTATACAATACAATGCAATAGCAGAGTTGGAAGGGACCTTGGGGGTCCTCTAGTCCAATCTCCTGCCCAGGCAGGAAACCTATACTGTTTCAGACAAATGGCTATCCAACATCTTCTTAAAGGCTTCCAGTGTTGCGGCTTTCACAAATAGCTTGACTCCCTCTTCTTTGTAGCAGCCCCTGAGATATTGGAAGGCAGCTATCATGTCTCCCCTAGTCCTTCTTTCTATTAAACTAGACATACCCAGTTCCTGCAACGGTTCTTCATATGTTTTAGCCTCCAGTCCCNCTCTGCTTCCCCCCCTAAAACAGCATGGAAAAATGTTGGTGCATCTTATACACCAAATACAGCCATTTTCGGCCTCCCAAAGCCCCTTCCCCACACCCCATTTTTGCGAAAAGGGCCATTTTTTGCAATAACCGAGGCTTTTTTTGCCTTCCCTCAGCCCCCAGTAGCACTCTGCAGACTTCAGCAGGGCTGCACAGTACTGCTGGGGGCTGAGGGAAGGCAAAAACTTTTTTTTTCTTATTTACCTCTTTGAAATCTTGGTGCATCTTATACACCAAGGGCGTCTTGTAGTCTGAAAAATACGGTAAATAGTTTTATTGGATTTTGATAGATGAGAGTGGTAAACTATATACTGTATTTTTTGGAGTATAAGATGCACCAGAGTATAAGACGCAGCAAGGCTTTGAAGAAGAAAAATTTAAAAAAAGGTTTTTGCACTCAGCAAACATCCCAAAAATGGCCCATTTGTTTTTCAAAAAAGGGCATGAATAGCCATTAGGAGGCTTATAGAGTGGGGAGTGGAGTGGAGTGCAGGAGAGGGCAGGGGAGGGGAGGGGAGGGGAAGGGAAGGGAAGGGAAGGGAAGAGAAGTAGAATAACAAAGTTGGAAGGGACCTTGAAGGTCTTCTAGTCCAACCCCCTACCTTAGCAGGAAACCCTACAACACTTCAGACAAATGTTTATCCAACATCTTCTTAAAAACCTCCAGTGTTGGAGCATTCACAATTTCTGGAGGCAAGTTGTTCCACTGATTAATTGTTCTAACTGTCAGGAAATTTATCCTTAGTTCTAAGTTGCTTCTCTCCTTGATTAATTTCCACCCATTGCTTCTTGACCTACCCTCTGATGCTTTGGAGAGTCAGTTAACTCCCTCTTTTTTGTGGCAAAAACATGTAGGCAGAAACCTGTGTGGCAGAAACCCGCAGGTTGGATAGAAATACAAAACATCCTCCGCTTAGCTCCTGTACAATATAAGTACAATTTGAAGCTTGCATACCTAGTCAGGCCCTTTGAAATTGGTTGATAAAAATGTGACAAGCCATTGAGGAAAATGTAAGAATAGTCTCCTCTAATCAAGCTTTGGGGAGACAAAAGGGGTCAAAACTGAGAAGAGGACTAGCATAAATAAATAAATCAGCAGACAGGATGTTAAATGCAGTGTTTGCCAAAAGTCTTCTAAAGGTCGCATGTAAGCCAGAAAACCATGTTTAATTAAAGGAAGTGATGCCTTTATATGGACAAGAAATAAACAAGGCTGATAGTCTGAGCCCAGCTTTAGGATTTGAGGAATTGAAAAATCTGTCCTAGTTTGCTAGAAACCTGCCCACCCTAAGCTACTTATAAGTTAAGGACCATAAAAAGTTATAGCTCAGATTTTTTTCTTAATTCTTTTTCGGGAAAATCTGTGCATTCTTTATCTAGGTGAAGTAGCAGGAGGCATTTTTTGAGGTAGAAAACCTTCCTTGAGATGACAGAAATGAGGAAATAACAATGAATGTGGTTTGAAAGACATTCACAAGAACAGCATGGATGAAAGTGAGGATATGCCTACTAATCTCTTACTCTCTCTCTCTCTCTGTGTGTGAAATATTCTCAATTTATGATGGTGACTCTGGAACTAGTTCTGGGTTGACATTTTCAGGATTGTTGGGAGGCGGGTGGTGTACCAACACACTAAATATATACAGGGCAAGCTGGATACCCGTGCTTTGTGGTGAAACTATGTGATCGGGCAATGCAGGAGAAATTCAGTTCACAATCCATTGGCTCAGTGGTGGTTGGTGATTGAAGCACATAAGGGACAGGGGTGGGTTTCGACCGGTTCACACCGGTCCCTGCGATCCGGTTGGTCGCCGAACCCGGAAGTAAGTAACTTCCGGGAACGGCGAACCCCCCCCCCCCCGCGCCCGCGCACACCCGCACCCCCGCGCCCGCTCCTTACCCGGTTTTTCCGAATTCTGCGCTTTCCACGCATGCACAG